TGTACTGTCCACGTGTATAAGATGAGTGGATGCCCACTGTCCCGTGTACTGTCCACATGTGTGAGATGAGTAGATGCCCACTGTCCCGTGTACTGTCCACGTGTGTGAGATGAGTGGATGCCCACTGTCCCGTGTACTGTCCACGTGTATAAGATGAGTAGATGCCCACCTTCCACTTAATATATTTATCTCAAACGTTCAAAGATGTTTTATCCTCAGACTTGGGGTTTTTTAACTCTTTAATCACTTCTTACACTCCAGTCTTCATCCCCCTCCTGGTCCACCACCACCCCTCCCCCACCCCCGACTGCTCCCCATCCCATCCCTCCTCCTCCTCCTCCCCCGACTCCTCCAAGAGGATGTTCCCACACTTCCACTCTCACCCCAGCAGACCTCCCTCAAGTCTCTTGAGGGTTAGATGCATCTTCTCTCACTATCTATTACTCTTCTCTATGTGTACGACTGGTCTGTCTGCATCTGACTATGCATCCGTGCATTCCCATGCCCTAGGAAGTTAAGAGAAGGTGTTGGGTCCCCTGGAACTAGAGTTACAGACAATTGTTAACCATCCATGTGGGTGCAGGGAATAGAACCTAGGTCCTCTACCAGAACAAGTGCTCTTAACAGCTGAGCTGTTTTTTCTGGCCCTTCTTCTCATCTGTTGCCCTGTGTGTGAACAAAACCTAACAGCCTTGTCTGTCTACTTGGGAGGTTGTCCTGGTGTCTGTCAAGTACCCTGATAGGCATTAAGCTCATGCAGACCTGAGCTCATTTTATGTTCTTGTGTGGAAGTCGGAGGACAACTGCAGAAATCTGTTCTCAGGCCACCTTTGGGATCTAGAATTCAATCTCAAGTTATAAAGTCTATAAACAAATGTATCAAGCCAGGTGTGGTTTTGCCTTTAATCCCAGCACTCAGCAGGTGGGCTGATCTCTCAGTTAAAGGTCAGCCTGGTCTACAGAGTAAGTTCCAGGGCAGCCAGGGCTACACAGAGAAACCCTGCCTTGTCGTGGGAGTGGGAGATGGAATGTCTCTACTTGCTAGACCATCTCATCAGCCTTCAGTTTGTTTTTACGTAGTGTTGGAGGTTCAGCCGAAGGCTGCACATATGCTAGGGAAACACTTTGCCATTGAGCCACAGCCTCTGGCCTCTAAAATCTTGTTTGTTATATGAAACCTGGTCTCACTGTGTAGCCGTGGCTGTCCTACATCTTGCTGTGTGGACTAGACCAGTCTTGAATTCACAGAGATTCATTCACCTCTACCCCTGCCTCCTAAAGTGCTGAGATAAAAGGTTTAAGCCACCATATCCAGCCTGCCCTCCAAAAAGGCCCAGGCTAGCCTCAAATTTCTGGGTATCCTTCTGCCTCAGCATTTCTAAAATTATTTTTATTTATATCTAAACACATGGGCTAGTAAGATAGCTCCATGAGTAAAGGTGGCCCAAGTTTGACCACCTGAGTTTGATTCCAGAGCCCATGTAATAGAAGGGAAGAATGACTCCCAAATGCCATTCTCTGATTTCAGTTTACATGCCACTATGGCTGTGCTGCCACCCCTCCAAATAAATAGATGTACATGAATAAAAGTTACAAATAGGAATAGGTACCATATAATGTATATATATGTGTGTATCATACCCCAGGACTGTTATTATTTTTTAAGTGCCTAGACTGCCATAGATTGTGTGATCCTCCTGCCTCAGAGCAGGGATTACAGGTCAGCACCACCATTCCTGGGCCAGTGTACCAGCCTGTTTTTAAACTCAGAGCACACTGACCATTCTCAAGGTAACTGGAGCTGATGATCAGTTGTTCAGTTTACTGAAAGGTATGCATGTGTACACTTTATATTAAATATATTGGGTATATTTTTTAATATCCATTTTTATTTGTGTAGGTATTTAAATGCATGTTTGTATACCTCATGCATGCAAGTGCCCATGGAGACCAGAAGAGGGTGTCAGGTCCCCCATAACTGGAGTTAGAAAGAGTTGTGAGCTGCCATGTGAGTGTTAGGAACTGAACCCAGGTCCTCACAGGAGCAGCAAGGGCTCTTTCCAGCCCCTGAAAGATATTTTGAAATACCATCTTTGAAAAATGCCTTTTAGTGACTTAATGAAACTATTGGCTCCAGTCATGTTTGCTTGTGGCACCCAGACTCTGTATCTCTCAAGTAAACCAGAGCCACAGAAGGAAACTGTGGGATGGGCGTCCATCACCTTGTAGGAGAGGCACAGGTCAGGCAAGGACAGCATGCCCAGTGACTGTGCTTTGCTCCCAGTGGCTGGACTTACACCTGCATCACGAGATCCCCACGTCACTGCTCATACTCTCCCGGGCCATGTACCTCCCAGACACCCTCTCACCTGCTGACCAGCTGAAGTCCACCTTGCAGACGCTTCCGGAAATTGTGGTATGTATTGTCAGAAGAGCCTTTGACTCCTTATCTCTGTGGGCTTGGGACGGGACCCTCTCCTCCATAGCTGTGGGAGCTTTTCCAAGAGACCTTGGTCTTCCTGTCCTCTTCATCAGCTCCCTGCTTTGTCTCCCTTCCCAGCCTCCCATATAGCACCACCTCAGGCACAGCAGTGCCAAGGTGGCAGATCTGAATTAATGCATTATTTTTTATTTTTTTCCTTATTCTTTAACTCAAACAGTCCTCTATGGATGGGGAACCTTACCTTTAGGACCTCTAAACACAGGAGGCAGCATGCTGTTGTGTACTCTGTTGTTTTGTATGAAGGCTGGGTGGTAACATTGCTCAGAGAGAGGGAAGGGCACTTTAGGCCTTGGCACCTCAGGCTCACTACAGTTACCTTCTTCTTTCTCCTTCCCTCTGAAGGCAAAGGAGGCTCAGGTAAAAGCAGCAGAGGTGGAGGGAGAACAGATAGACAACAAGGCGAAGCTGGAGGCCACGCTGCAGGAAGAGGCTGCCATCCAGCAAGAACACCTGGAAGAACTAAAGAGAGCTGCTGAGGCTGTGGTGAGCAGCCTGCATTGACTGACAGACACTCTGTGGGACCCAAACCTGTACCAGGCCAAGTCCTTAGAGCCTGTCTTGTAGCTGTGTATGTGGCTCTCAGGCCTATCCTGTCTTTCTCTGCAGGGGTCAAAGTGGTTCAAGGACACAGGAGTGCTTGACTGTAGAGCTATAGCTCTCAGGGACAGTTCAATACAAGACATGATGTGACATCTAACTCTCTGGTCACCATTGCCATAGGAGGGGCCAGCTTAGCAACCAAGTAGGGAGTCACCAAGGGATCCACCTTCTCAGGGTTGCTATCCTGTCAGCTGCTCACTGCCCATGACTGTGCTCACCTCTTGGCTTCTGTGGTCTCAGAAGCTGCAGGAAGCTGTAATGCTCTAGAGCTTGGAGTTGCCTGGGTTATCCATGTGCATCCCTTCACCTCGTCCCAGTCCCAGAGATGAGCAACATGCTCTGACTGAGTCTGTTGAGGTGGCCTCAGGTGGCTGGCTCATCATGGGTCAAGCGAGCTACTGCTGCCAGATATTGATCAGTCAGTCTCCCTGTCACTGCAGAGTATTCCAAGTGTGACCTGTCAGGGCGATATGCTGAGTGTGGAACCAAAGCCAGGTGACCGAGGTGACAGTGTGGTACTGCTTACATTTCAGAAGGAGATCCAGCCAGAAGTAGCAGAAGCCACTGTCCCTGGGAGGCCAGGGGACGAGCTTCAGCCCAAGATGGCTGATGTGATCCTACCCTCAGAGGTACTGAAGGATACGGCACCTGTACTGGAAGGTTTGAAGGTGAGCTACATGACCAGGAAAGGAGGAGCACCGCCTGCTCTGCCATAAGACCCAGATTTGATTCTCAGCACCCACATGGCAGCTTACAACTGTTTATAACTCCAGTCCAGGGGAACCAATGCCCCCTTCTCTAGTCTCCTCAGGAACAAGGCAGACATGTGGTACATAGACATGTATGTAGGCAAAACACACCCATATCCATACTTATAAGCAATCTTTTAAAAATGTAAGATAAGGCTGAGGAGAGATATGGATGTGGTTCCATTAGGGTGCGTACATAGTGTGCTCCTTACATAGCATGTTCAGGACCGTAGGCGCAGTGCCCAGTGCTACAAAACAGAAAAATGTGGCCTTCCATCTAGTGTTGGTGAGGATGAGAAAGACCTGGGTCACTTTGGAAACCACTTTAAGGGTTTTCTAAAGCAGCAAACTTATACCCTATTATCGGCTGCTTACACCTATACACAGCAGCTGTCATTGTAGTTACTGAAAGGCACTAAGGAGAAAGCTGTTACGGTGTTGCTGTCCAGATTAGAAATACTTTACCATTGGACATCAAAATAGGTGATTGATGAAAAGAAGCAGAGCTGGTAATCCCTCTCCTATAACGTTCTAGAAAACAAAGGCTGTCCCATAGAGTGAAAGGCAGGCCTGGGGATGGAATCCTGGGAAACATAAGGGAGCATTTGGGGATAACCAGTATGCTTTCTCTACTTGCACACCAAGAAGATACAGACAAGAGCTATAGCCAGCATAGCTCAGAGCTGAGTTGCAACTCACTTGAGGCTGTCCTTAAGTGCTTGCCCTGTGGTGTGCACAAGAAGGCTTTCGTCATTAGGGAATAGCAGAAGCTGTTTGCTCCCTAGACTTAGGTTTGTCTACTCACTTACTTCTTTCCAGGGAGAAGAAATTACCAAGGAGGAGATTGACATCCTCAGTGATGCCTGCTCCAAGCTAAAGGAGCAGAAGTCATCTCTGACCAAGGAGAAGGAGGAACTGGAGCTGCTGAAGGAGGACATTCAGGACTACAGTGAGGTGAGTGGGCGTGCACTGCGGGGAGACGGACCCTTGGAGGGGGCCCTCCAGCAGCTGCTCAGGGCCCAGGCTGACACTAGAGAAGGTAGGGAGATTATTAGGGCCACCGTGTAGGTAGATGTGACCCTGGCTGCTGCTAAGTAGATAGTGATAGCTATCAGAACCCAGGTGTCGTGGGAACAGCTTAGTCACTTAATGCTTGAAATCGTACTTCTGTTCAGGGCCCTCCACGGCACTTCTGTCCCTCCCTTCCTTCTTTGCCTCCCTCCTTTTCTTTCTTTCATGGTGCTAGGATTGATCCCAGGGCCTTATGCATGCTAGATAAGAGCTGTTTCTCTAACTACATCCTCAGCCCAGCAGTCACTGTTTTCTACTCTGAGGTAACAATACCATTATCCCCACTCTGCTGGGAAAGTAATGGTTTAAAGATTGTTGCTAAAAATCAATTTCTCTTTCTCATCTTCCCTGTGGTGGTCCCCTCTGGCTATGTGACTTCTCCACCAGAAACTACATTTTTCACCAGACAAGGCAGTGCCTCATTCCCCTCTGCTCCTCACCCTGCTCTTAGCCCTGCGATCTTTGACCCATGTAAAGAAGACGGTGCTTAGGCTTCCTTGAGCCTTTGTATTTATTCATTGCTAACTACAAAGGAAGTTGAAATTCAGGATAGATTTTAAAAGTTTGAACTTATAAAAATAAATTATTAAGAATAAATTTGCATGAGGGAAATAAGATTCTCCAATTTCTAAGGCTGAATTTAATTCTTTTGTTCAATTGACTCCTGTTTTGTGGAGCTGGGGCCAAACGCAGGACCTTGTGCACAGTACTTTGTGCACCCAGCCACATCCCAGTGCAGAGTAATGACTTAATTTTTAAGTTCAAATTAATGTAGAACCCTCCCTCCTTTTTTGGATAAACTTTTTAAATTAGGACTTACAGGAGATCAAGAAGGAACTTTCAAAGACGGGTGATGAGAAGTTCATAGAAGAATCCACAGCTAGCAAGAGGCTGTCGAAGCGGGTGCAGCAGATGATTGGACAGATCGACGGCCTGATTGCACAGCTGGAGACCACTCAACAGAATGGCAAGCTCAGCCTGGATGAGAGCTCTCCGACAGGGTGAGTGAGTGCGTAAGCCTCGGATTCCAGAGTGTATCTCTTTGGCCTCTACCTGCCCACCTCACCTCAGGCCCGGGGCAGCCAGGATTACAAGAGGTCTTTGCTCTTACATTTCCTTTCGTCACAGCTCAGTTCTATGTCTCCATGCTTGCTTTTCCTAGGTAGATGAGATCTGCCTCTTCCCATCCTTTTGAGCTTTAGTCTGAACCCCACTTGGCTCTTGATTCTTCAAACTGTCAGGCTTTCTCCTGGTTCCTCCCTTTTCTAACCCTGGTATAACACCATTGTGGACATTCTGCCTTGCTAAGCAGTCACCAGCAAACGGTGAGACACGCCATGCTTTTGTAACCCAGCTATGAGTGGACTTGCCACAGGTCCTGACCATAGTCTCCACAGTGAGGCCAGGTGGCTACAGCCAGGCCTGGCTTCTACTCTAGGTCCTTGAATTGGTTGTTGGTGGCCTGGAAGACATGGTGGTGCTCCCCACTGTGGGGATATGTACATGTGTGTGGTGCCCATGGAGGCCAAAAGAAGGTGTCAGATCCCCTAGAGCTGGAATTGTAGATAATCGTGAGCCACCCAACATGGGTTCTGGGAACTAAACTCAAGTCTTCTGCGAGTACAATAATCGTTTTTCTAATTTTTTTTTTTCCGAGACAGGGTCTGTCTGTATAGCCTGGGCTGTCCTGGAACTCACTCTGTAGACCAGGCTGGCCTCGAACTCAGAAATCCGCCTGTCTCTGCCTCCCAAGTGCTGGGATTAAAGGCGTGCGCCACCACTGCCCGGCTGCAATAATCATTTTTAACCACTGAGCTATCTCTCCAGCCTCAATTTTTTTTCAGTTTTATGTGTATGTGTGTGTGTATGTGGTATGCATGAGCTTATGTGTGAGTGTGGTATTTGTATATATGCTATATGTATAAGCATGTGTGTGTGCTGGTATACATGCTTATGTGCACCTGGAGGCTGTCAGCCTCCAAGCCTATGATCTTCCTATGCCTGCCCTCACCCAAAAGCACTGTGATTATAGACACGTGTGACCCCTACCAGCTTTTTACATGGGTTCTGAGGAATTGAACTCAGGTCCTCATGTAGTAAGAACACTGACAGCTGCTAAGCAACCTCCCCAGCATCCAAGGATGCTTTTTGTACATGTCCATGCTAGTCTTGCATCTTGAAGGGAAAGCAGCTTAGGATCTCACTGTGGGAGAAGTCATGCTGATATTTCCAGTTCGTGCATGGCTCTAGACTCAGAGCTTATGGGAAGAGCTGTGGGTAAGGCATGAGACCAAGCACCTGGCCAATATCACATGCAGACTGCACTCCCCAGGGAGAGTGTCATCAGTATCAATGAGCTCCTCAGCGCCATGAAGCAAATCAAGCACATTCCAGAACACAAGCTGATCAGTTTGACCTCAGCCCTGGATGAAAATAAGGATGGCAATATCAACATCGATGACCTTGTTAAGGTGAGCCAGCCAACATGGCTACTTTCCTGGGCCCGGGGTTTGTGGAGGAGCTGCTTACTCAGAGATGAGAGAATATTGGGGGGTCTGGAGAAATGGCTTGGGCTTTAGTTAAGGGTACTAGCTGCTCCTACAGAGGAAAGAGGTTCAATTCCTACCCCACATGGCAGCTCACAACAGTCTGAAACTCTAGCTCCAGAGGATTTGGCACCCTCACAGACATGCATACGGGCAAAACACCAATGTACATAATAAATAAATCCTTTTAAAAATAAGACTAGCCAGGCAGTGATGGCACACGCCTTTAATCCCAGCACTTGGGAGGCAGAGGCAGGCGGATTTCTGAGTTTGAGCCCAGCCTGGTCTACAGAGTGAGTTCTAGGACAGCCAGGGCTGCACAGAGAAACCCTGTCTCAAAAAAAAACAAAAAAAAAAAAAGAAGAAAGAAAAAAAATAAGACTATTAGGAGGTCAGATTTGCCCTTTGCTCTCATTTGAAATCACATTAGAATTAAGAAGTTACTAAAGTTCCAGACATACTGGTGAGATAAGAAAATGCCCCTGGTCTGCCGCAGGTACGCTCCAGCCTGCCGCCTTAAACTGTTTTCTACCATAGGACCTTGCATCCCTATTAGATCTGAGGAAAAGGGTAAACACCTCTGCCAGGACTCCTTGAGACCTGAGAGACACTTGAGTAGGTAGAGCTTGTAGGGATAGTGGCTAAGCTCCAGGTACATCAGCCCTTAAGATGTGAGTCAAGAGCCAGCCTCTAGGGGAAGTCTGGATTCCAACCTGCAAATTCTCATGGACCTACTTAAATTATAAGTCATGGTTTTGAAGGAAAAAAATTGCCACTGTCATCATGGTTCTCAGTACACCTGGCAAGTTTGTGACTTTTGTATATATAGCCGGAAATATTGGTTAATTTCCTTTAGTTCCATTTTAAAACAGGTACTATTAGACATACTTCTGAGACTTTTTCATGTTCTCCCCTCAGGCTACATGGCAGAAGCAGATGTATCCCAATGCTCACCCCTTGCTGTACCAGGGAAGCCATGTTCAGGACAGGTCCAAGGCTTCTAGTAGTGTGGCAGGGCCATGCTGGCTGGAATAGGGAATTGATGCCACACCCTTGCTGTGAAGTCTATGGCCCTTGGAGGTCTGAGACTTGAGTGCCAGAGAGGCAGGAGGAGCCCAGATACCCATAGCATGCAGTAAAATGGCAAGTGCCCTGCTAAGGGGAAAGCTCAGAGGAGGAGTCAGGTGCTGTGTCCCAGAGCTGTTGAGGGTCAGCAGATGATTAAGTGGTGGAGTCCCTCCTAAGTCTCCGTCCCCTGTGTGTGTAGGTAATCGACTTGGTGAACAAAGAAGATGTTCAGATTTCTACCACCCAGGTAGCCGAAATTGTGGCCACACTAGAGAAGGAAGAAAAGGTGGAAGAGAAAGAAAAGGCCAAGGAAAAGGCTGAGAAAGAGGCGGCAGAAGTGAAGAATTAAAGCTGCCGACTTTGGGCCCCACAAGCACGGTGGCGTGACACAGTGACTGCTTTGCGCTGATTCTTAGTGGCAAATCTAATATTTTGTCTGGAATAAATCAAAAACTTCCATAATGAAGCCATTTTTAATTTTCATCATTCCACGAAGATTCAGTCCGGCTGGAGCCAAAGGGTGGCTGTGTCTGGACTCTGCCGTGGTGTGGTACTAACCGGCTCTAACCCTGGGTTAAGGTACAGCTGCCAGTAGGACCCTAGCCCCACACTGACCTCTAGCTTCAGAGATGGCTCTGGCCAGGCTCGCTAGGAAGGTGTGTCTCTGTGTATGTCCTTACAGGACCAGGATCGGAGCGAGCCTCCATCCTGTGAGAGGAGAGTGAAAGCCAACTGGACCCCAAGCACCTGTGTGGAGCCAAGAGGATGTGCCTGCGTGTCCTCATAGGCTGTGGGGTAGGAGTTAGTCAAATGCAAATGCAGGCCACTCTGCTCTGAAGACACTGCCATCAGTCTGAGGGATTGAGATTCCTAAATGCCAGTGTACGTAGATCTGTCTGCTCACACACACCTCCACAGTTGTCTTAACTGCAGGTCCCTGACAGCAGTGTCTGTGTCCTGTATGGATCCCGAGGCATTTTGACTAGAGCACTCTCAATTTACCATTGATTTCCACTTAATAATTCTTTAACTGACTAGTACTAAATCTGACTGTCCACCTAATTCATGAGTAATTCCTCATATAGTGGGTGACACACATTGAAGAAGACTTTGAAAATGAAATCTTGCCAGGCAGTGGTGGCACACGCCTTTAATCCCAGCACTTGGGAGGCAGAGGCAGGCAGATTTCTGAGTTCGAGGCCAGCCTGGTCTACAGAGTGAGTTCTAAGACAGCCAGGGCTACACAGAGAAACCCTGTCTCGAAAAAACAACCCCTCCCCCCCCCCCGAAAAAAAAAGAAAGAAAATGAAATCTTTTCTGTTGGGCATCCACATTGCTGAGCAGGCCCAGGGGATAGAACTGATGTCTGCAACTTGAATATACCTGAGGCTTTGTGTGGCTTTTAACATAAAATTCAAGTCCTATCTCCCAGGACAATGTGCAAGATGGGGCTTCATGGGGGAATTTCTGTATGTTGTTGGCTCGAGGCTCCAACATCGTTAGCACAAATGCTCATGGCTGGACACCAGCCACCAAGGAGTGATGCCACGGAGCTGTCCACATGGTGGTCCCTGCCTACCAACAGCTCACTGGCACCCCTCGGAGTCGATGACCTAGAGCTCTTTGCTGAGTGGCCGCCAGCCTTTCTCATTTGGAAATGGCTCCTTGGACAGGCCAGGGCTGGGTGTCCTGCGGCCTCACCACCACCTTCACATTGTAACCCCATTCTTGGAGCACAGAGGGAGGAAGATCATGAGTTCAGCTCGGGCTACTTAGCAAGACCCTATCCAGGAAAAAAAAAATTCTTGACTCCAGACAGGAATTGGAACATGTACAGAGAAGCAGCAAGCAGAATGGACCTTTCAGTTTCTTGAAACTTCTTTCTTGACTGTTAAAGGAAACACATTATGCTATGCAGGAATAAGATGATTCTTGCATGTAAACCTGTGCAGAGTAACAGTGGAAGTCACTTCATGGTCACAGCTGAATCCTGGTGTCTCTACAAGGACAAGATTATGGTTACCAAGTGTATCCCCACAATAGAGGGTATCTCCTATGAGCAGCCCTCTGGAGCCTGTCCTGTGTCTGCCCATCATCTTCATCCTTTATTGTATTACTGGGCACTGTCACTGGCCTGTGCTGGCTGCTGCTGACTCAGGAATTCCCTGATGTCCCTCTAACCGCCACTCTGGACTCTGTCCTCACAGGTCACGCCATCACCCCACTGCAGGACCTTAGCAAATACATGTGCTAGAAGGTCTACCAGTGGATGCTTCCCTTGGTTTTTGGAGTTGTCCCCACATCTGTTTGCTTCACTGCTTGACCTTAAGTAGTACAGCTGGGTCAGGGTTAGAAACACTGGATCCACCAGGCAGTGATGGCAGTGCAGCCTTTAATCCTCAGAAGGCAGAGGCAGATGGACAGCCAGGGCCACACAGAGAAATCCTGTCTTGAACCACTACCACCACCACCACCACCCCTAAAAAAAGAAATGGCAGATCCAGGACTGAGAACTATACTCAAGCTGAGCATTTGAAAGTTCGTGTTTCATCTGTCGTAACTGCCCTGCACCTCAGCACTTGCCCAAAGCATATGTTCAGGAGCTGAGATGTCTGCACCTGTTAAATGAAATTAAAGTTTCAACCCAAGAGTCTGGTGTTTCCTCTCTCCACTCTAAAACCCCTTCCCACACAGGATCTGGGAAGTTGGCACCTAAATTCCACGCTCCTTTTGGACTATCAACATCTTAAATGTGAAGGGCACCATGCAGTTCTTAAAAGCCATCCTCATGGTCTTGGGCTGTGCTTCCTAGGACCATGGTAGAGGAACAAGTTTTGTACCCTCTTCTGCCTTCCAGGGGTCTCAGAGCCTCCAGCTAAGTCATGTGTAGACATCTTCCATGTTCATGGAACAGCCCAGAGTGATAACTTCTGAACCTTGAGCAATCTATTCAAGAAACTGAATGGAAACTCAAACCACCTAAAACTCTAATGATTGTGCTGTGGCCACCAGGCGTGCTTAGATTTTAGTGGGTCTTGACCCTCCCCTCAGCCCCTAGGTGAGTACCAGCTCACATTTGGGGGTTCAAGCCTTGGTTCCAAGATCATGGCTTGTGGGACCTATCTGAGGAAGCCCGTATACCCTGTTTTGTAGAATCTGACAAGGAAGGACTTCTTAAGACTCTAGGCTAATTCAGGGCCCTATGGGGCTAGCAGGCTGCATGATGATATTTTCTAAACACCTTGATGTAAGGAATTGACTGAATAAAGTACCACTGATGACTTGTCTGCTGTATAATGGTGTGTTCACATTGCTAGTTTCCACACCTAACCAGGCTCTCCCAGCCCGCCAATGCTCAGACGACCACAGACTAGTCAGCTCACAGCCCAAACTTTTCTTCTCATGAGCTGTACAGGGTGGGCGGGGGCTAGGACCTTGGCTGGTGAATCCCAGGGAAATGTGGTCTGTGCCCACACAGAATCTACTGTTCAGTCCAGAGACAGGATCCAGCCCCAGGGATGTGTGGAGGACAATGAGCCTGGTGGAGGCAGTTCCCCAAGCCCCACCATGTGCTTGCTTTAGGACCTTAGCTGGGAGGATCTGGGTGTTAGGATAAAGTTACAGAATTCATCTTCTGATCTCATCAGTGACTGCTGCCCTGAGCCCAGGACACCAAAATGTAGTGTGTCCTCCTGTAGCCATTCTTGGTGTCTTCTAAAATGCTTGATTGAGGTCACATTGGTCCCCAGGCTCAAGAAGTACAAGTCTAAGAGCAAGGGTAGGAACTGCTTGTTGGTGAGGAAGGACAGTCATTTAAAGTGCACAGCATGCCCATGGCTATACTGAGAACAAAGCAAACATTCAGATGAGGTAGACTTAGACAGTAAATTCAAGTCCCGTCCCTACATGACTTGAGAAAAGCCTCGTGTGCCAGGGAGTGGAGGTGTGATCATGCCTGAGTCTCTCACCGGAAAAACAGGACATTTGACGCACAACTTGTTTCTTCGCTTCTTGGGAAGATACTTTTTTTTTCTTTTTATTTTATCTGTTTTGCCTGCAAGTATGTATGTGTACCATGTGTACATCCAATGCCCACAGACCAAGGTTATATCCCCTGAAACTGGAGTTATGGTTTTGACCATCATGTGGGTGTTGGGAATAAAACCGGGTCCTCTGCTAGCAGTAAATACTCTAAATAAACCAGAGTCATCTCTGCAACTTAAAGAGAATTCTTGCTGCTGGTCCTCAGAACACTAGGACCTACCCCAACCCAGGATGATAGCCAGCCACAGGCCAGTGTCGGTAAGCAGGAGTTTCCTGGGAGCCAGCCTGTTCCTGGTACTAGACAGAGCAAGCCAGGAAACCATCCGCCATCATTACTACTCATGTTCAAAAGGCACGGCAGTGGAATAGATTTCCTCCAAAGGAGACTACGCAGCAAAAGGAACCTGACTTAGGTCATGGGAGATTTGAGTGCAAATCCAGTGTTTGGTGACATAAAGCCACACTTACTGTGTTCTCACAGGGCAGTAACCACCCAGGAAACCCTGGTGGTGCAGCAGCCTGACCTAGGAGCCCCTGCCCCTCTCAGGACCATTCCTGCCCCCGTGAACCAACCCCTTGGTGCTAGCTTTCCCTAGATCGCCAAGAGCCCTGGACTTGAAAAGGGCTTCCAGATTACCATACAAAGCTATGCTCAGAATGACACTAGAGGGCGCTACAGGCTGCTACACAGCTTTCTTGGGTAGTTGAGCTTGTTTCAGGGATAAGAATGCATCCTCCTGGTGCCACACTCCTACACATACTTGCACACACGTGCTGATTTATGCACACACGCTATTCTGCAGGCTTTAGTCAGATCCTTTAACTGCCTTCTGCCTAGTCACTATCATCATGTGTCTGTGTAGCTCTGAGTCCCTGAAACTATCTGATGCCCCTCAAGATGTTGCTGTGTGTAACTAACAGAGAGCCAAGGCCTACAGTTTCCCCTAAAACCCAGTACTTCCCTAAGATCCTCAAGCTTCTATTTCAGTCTAGAACCAAGTCATCTTGACTTTTAAAAAAATGCCCTCACCTAGAAGGTGGGCCTGGTCCTAGCAAGGGTGGAACAAGGGTGCACATTCATTCAGTCCCCAGGTCTTCTCCCAAGATTAGAAAGTAGGACAAACAAAATGGATGCAGGAAGGAAACACAAAGTTGTCTACACGTTGTCCTGGGACTCATTATGTGGATCATCTCTGCCTTAAACACATGTCTGCACCATGCCTGGCTAACTGTAGATTGCTTAAACAAGGGGTTTGGCTACCTGCCTTTTCCCCAGAGGACTTTCAAATATAATTAAGCACACTGTCCTCATGAGATCCCTTCTGTCAGGACAGCCAGGGGACTGAAGAGACCCAGAACATTTCCTCCACATACATATTCATGGTCCCCTCCTATGGACACAACTTCCTTGCATCCTGTCCTCAGCACCTCTAGACTGGTAACCCTGACCGGCCTGCCACTTTGGGCCACCCGACCTTAGCTGTCCTTACCCTGAGAAGGAAAAGCAAAGACAGTCCCTCTTGGAGCCTGGGACTACCACTTTCTTCTAGGGACCACCCAGAGGCTGCTGAATCCCCAGGTGCTATTATCCCTCCTCCCCTGGGGACGTACCTCAGAACCTGTCCCCACAGGCAACAAGGACACAGCTGTACAGGTCTAAAAACAGAAAGCGAGGCATTCACGGAAATCAGAACCAGTTATCTTTATTTTTTGGAAAGTAAGTTGGCTGTGTTAACAAAACCACATCTGCCAGTGTGGGCTGACAAACCATGTCCTAGGCCCTAAGAAAATCACCCTGAGCCACTGTCCTGACCCTGCTGGCTGACAGGCAAGGGACAGCCAGCCACCCAAGCCTAGGGCCCAGTAACAGTACAAAAAGTAACAAAACTGCATTCACCACTGTCTCCCAAACTTTGAATGGTAGCAGTCTAGGCTATAAAAGTCTAGAAGCATTGTATAGGAAGTGTTAAGCCTACAGCAAAACAACTTGTAAAAACTCAATAAATTATAGATAGATAAACTTGTAACATATCTATTAACATCTGAACCTTCTTGCAGGGCCAACCCCTCCCTGGGCACAGGCTCCTGCCTGGAATACATAGCAATTAGAATAATCTGTATGAAAAATACCAGTTCACCTTGAAATTTTTTAAAATCTCCTAAAGAAAGTTCCTATATAAATCTAATCCCCCACAAAAGAGGGCCAAAGGCAACAAAAAATGCTTGCTGGAGCCAGCTCTAACTAGGAGCTACTCAAGCACCAAGGGGGCCACGGTCCAGCCTTGGTGGAAGCCAGATGCACGCTCTCAGCAACTCCCTAAATTCAGCATAAACATCTTCAGCTGTTAATAAGTTACAACTTAAAATTTCTGCAATACCATGGGACTAAATGCTATGAACCTGGGGTCGGGGACTGGAGCTCTGAGGGTTGATAAATAGCTTTACAAATATACAGGTCCAGGTACAAACAAAACTGCGGTGCCAGAAAAGCCCCTTGCTTCTCAGCCTGCTCTTGCCATTTTACTAGTGAGCCCCATGGAATACCTTGCTCACTTGGGCCTCAGCTTTGCCTTTTTCCATATAGATATTCTTATATATATGTATGTATATATATCATACACATCTATTTATATAAATGTACATTTTCCTCTGGAATAAACCTTTCTGATAGACGTTATGGCCCCCCCTTCAGGTACCCGTAATTTGTCTCTGAGGGACAGGATGGGAAGCAGCCTGGAGGTGTCTAGCTATGACTCACCCCCAGGCACAAGGTGCCACATAGGAGAGAGGCTTGCCACATAGAGCAGAGCCTCCCTTCAGGCTCAGCTTTGGGCACCAAAAAGGCCAAGGCCCACTCTGGACATGGAGTCTGGCCCTCTCTACAATGGTCCCTGTAAGGTAACAGCGGGGAATGAGGGAGCCAGAACCCCAGGGTTGCACAGGGTGGTCCCCTCTTACATTCTCATTTGGTGCTCTTGGCCAGTCAGGAGATCACTATACAGCAGTGCATGTTCCCAAGGGGCCTCTGCACCCAGGAGCCAAGGATAAACACGCAGAAGTCTTGTCTATTGTTGGCCCATCACACTGGGCTGGCTAGAGTCCACTGCACACCAGCAGTAGCAGGGCGGGCTAGGGTCCGCGTAAACATTGGCTGGGGCTTGGTCTGTGGGACTGTTGGCCCTTCACGTCCGAGGTCCCCCATTACTGGGTGGGCCTGGGGGTAGCAGGTCATGAGTGAATACAGAGTCATCCCCGGACGAGCTGGAGCTAGGAGTATCCTGGCCACCTGGCGAGTACTGCTCAAATGGCACAGAGAGGTCCAAATACTCCTGTTTGGTGGACACGACTGTCAGAACTTTCTCTTAGCATGCACCCCCCTTCTATCCCACACCATCTATATTCAGGCTATGCCCCCTAAAGTCAGTCCCTCCACTGGAGCTCCAAGGAGCAACACCCACAGTAAGCAAGGCAACCTCAGAGGGGGCAGGACTGAGTGACACTTACGTCAGTTGATGTCACAGTGAGGATGCGGTCTAAATCCTCTACCAACTGCTTGAAGGTGGGCCTCTGTGAAGGCACTGCATGCCAACATTCCCTCATAATCATGTACCTGTGCCAAGTACAGCTGTGGGTCCCTGGCCTGCTGCCCATCCCCACCTCACCCCAGGCCACCAGTCCCCTATACATCCCAAGGGCCCTGATAGGAATCCTGCCACCCCAGGGACTGGGTAGAGGAATGAGCAAGGCTCACAGGTCATGTGTGCAGTTGGCTGGCTTGTCCATGCGGTGGCCCTCTTTCAATAGCTTGAAAAGCTCTTCCACTGGGATGCCAGGATACGGCGAGCCCCCCAGCGTAAAGATCTCCCAGAGAAGGACACCAAAGGACCAGCTGCAGGGGAATGAGGACAGAAGGCTTGTTACTCCTGGCCGCTTACTGCAGCAGCCCTGCACCAGGACAAACCACTGATGGGCAAAGTGGGGCAACAGGGTAAGGAGAAGCCAGGACTGTGCTGGTGGCCCAATGAGGGGACCAGGACCCTGAAGGCTGCACAAGTGTGACTCATGCCTTGCCTGTCTTCAGATCTCCCTACCCCAGTCCTACGTGGGGACACATACACATCACTCTGGTGGGTGTAGACTCGGTCAAAAAGGGCCTCTGGTGCCATCCACTTCACAGGTAGCCGGCCCTGGGCAGAGGGAGAGGTGTTGGATCTTGCGTGGGGCCTCCTGATGAGGCCCCACATCCCAACCATGCAGGACCAGGGCTCACATTTGTGGTCTTCTTGTAGTAATCCAGGTTGTGCACATCTCGCGCCAGGCCAAAGTCTGCGATCTTCATCACATTGTCCTCAGTCACCAGGACGTTTCTGGCAGCCAAGTCTCTGTGAATACACTGAGGAGACAAAAGGAACCTGGGCTAAGGTGCCATTTCCGAGCTCAGGCAAGCTATCACCCATTCTTCCACCCAGAGAGGCCCCACTAGGCCTGGGCCCTGTCTCTGCCCACCTTCTGGGAAGCCAAGTATTCCATCCCCCGTGCCACCTGGTAGGCACAGGACACTAGATCCTTGCAGGTAAGCTGTTCTTCTGGCAGCCTGCAGGCATCAAAGGAGTAGTCCATGCCCGGAGGCCGCCGCGCCCGTAGGAACTCTCGTAGATTGCCCTTGGCTGCATACTCCACCAGCACATACAAGGGCCCTGGAAGTAAGCACAGGCACCTTAGAGATGCTGTGAGACTCTGGAGCCCCATCCACCAGCGAGCCCGCCTACCGCCTGACCTACCACCCTGTGTGCACGCCCCCAACAGGTTAATGATGTTCTTGTGCTTCCCGATCATTTTCATCATCTCCATCTCAGACACCAGGTCCGACAGGTCCTTGTCAGTGGCATCATCTGTGCCAGAAACGGGGGTGTCAACCAATGGCCTCACAGCCCTGAAATACCCCCTCTACCTCCCTCCCTCTTCACCTTTCAGCATCTTCACTGCCACGGTGACAGGCTTGGCAGTGTGGTCCTTGTCAATGCCAATAGCTTCTGCCATGACAACCTGTCCAAAGCAGCCCTCTCCGAGAGGCTTGCCGAGTGTCAGCCTGACCATGGAAACAGAGGCAATGAGTGTGTGCCCAGTGCCCCCAGCCCTCATGGGTCATGTACCACTGTATCTCAGAAGCCCTAGGGGCATTTGCTTATGAGCTTATGAAGACAAAGAATGACCCCTCAAACCTCACCCTGGAGTATCTAAGGAATACCTCCAACAGGCCCCTGCCTTGTAGGCACCTAGCCCCCAAGCCCAGAACCCCCACCAGGTATATACTAAACCCCACCAAGCACATATTGTCCCTCACCACCACTGACCGTGTCCTGGATAGCTCCCACTTGGGGTCAGCAGGCAGCTCAAGTTCAGAAACGTTGGCCAGAACAGGACCTTCTCCTGAGGACAGCCGGGCAATCCGGACGAGGGGTGTGTTGGAGTTCATAGAGGAGTTAGATTCCAAGGACACCTGCTTGGGTCATCAGGACAGGTTGGTACCACACAACGTGAGCTGGGCATTGGAAAAGGGGTGGGGTGGTAGAGCCTCCAGGGTGGCAAGGTCAAGTCTATGAGGCAAGGTGTGGGACCAAGAAAAGGACTGGCTGCTCTGACTTCTATACAGTGGTGACTGAAGACTACTAACAATGTTTCCACCTCAGAGTAACTTGAGCTCCATATGGAGATCAGAGATAAGGAGGTATCAGCCCACACAGCCACAGAGAAGTATGTTCTGGGCAGGCCCCAGGCCCTGCTGGGACGATAGGAGACTAAAGGCAGGAAAGACAGGGAATTCAAAATCTGGTATCTACTTTCTGTTACCTGTCGCTTAAGCGGGAAGCGAGAGACCTTGTGCACAGTGGGAGAGTCCAGGCCCTTCTTTGGGGGACTGTGCAGGCGGCACAGTGTCACAGCCGCCACCACCAGGATGAAGAGGAAGAAGCCCACCCCGTAGCTGAGGACACCTGCATACACGCTGCCAGCCTCATCAGCTTCCATCAGCTCCTCCTCAGCTGCAAAGATACAAATTTTGGGGCCTCATCCAGCCTTTTCAAACTTTCCCCCAGCCAGAACCACAGGCACCAGTGGGGGAGGGAAGGGACCTGGGATACTTGGAGAGGAGGGGCTGATGGCCCCCACTCACCTTATAGTACAATAAAAAAAAATCTGAGAGTCAGCAGGGAACACACCCAGGAGAGAAACCCAGGAGAGAAACCCAGGAGAGAAGCCCAGCAGAGCCAGAAGCACCCACACTGCTACCCAGGCACCCAGGAAATGCCAGAGCCTCATATCAGGACTGTGTGGGGGGGGGCTGCTAGAGAATGAAGAGGCCATTGCAGGACCAAGATAGGGCAAGGTCATGTTCCCATACCAAGCACAAGGCCTGGATGAGTTCCACAGGATGGGCAGCAATAAGCCATAAGGGGCCTCCTGCAGTTCCTGGCAGCTTTGGCATGTCCAGAGACAGCACCCTAAGAGGACAGGTGCAGCATGAGCAGCAGCAGAAGCCAGTACCTGGCAGCACCACCAACCACGCAGAGTGATGGGAAAACCCGATAGAATTGCCCGCCAGGCAGGTGTACTCCCCCGCATCCTCAAAGGTGACATTGTGCAAGGACAGAACCTCTAGCTCCTTGTCGGTGGTGTTAGCGCCTGCAGTCTACAAAGAGAGAACAGAGCGCGATAGGCCAGTGCCAACACCTCCCTGCGGGTACCACCAGCAGTCCACATGGAGATGATCCAGCCAGGCTGCAAGGAAAACGCCGCCGCCACCACCACAACCTCGGCCACCACCATGGCCCTGCCACAGCCACGGAGGCCCAGGGCCCTCTGTCTCCTGCACGGAGTCACTGAGCCTGAAGCCAGTCCCTCCACCAGTGGCGAGACCTCTGTCCCAAGGTGAGCAACAGGCAGGTGGGCAACACAGTGCCACACGAAGGCAGCATGCAGAGTTAGTGCAGAAACAGGAGAGAAGCAGATGAAAAGACGGGCAGACAGATGTACAGATGGGAAGCCAGAAGGCATTAGCCAGCTGGAGATGGGTGGAAGGTCGATGCTCACACACAGCGCAGGACGTGGCCCCTAACAGGCTCTAAAGATCTGAGTATCCAAGAGGGGGATGCAAGAGGACAGCATAGGCCTTGGGGGAGGGGGCTTTGAAGCAAACAGTCAGTCAGTGGTAACTGGGGGCTACCAGTATTTGCTGAGGCATCACAAGTAGAGTTCGAGCCACAGGCAGGGTCAAGCAGGATGGGTTGTGCAGGGCATGCAGGCATGTGCACGGCTTGGGCGTTAAAGCTGGAGCTCAGCGTGCCAGGCAGGCATGGGACAGAGTCGTTACCTGCTTGGGGCCCGTGAACACGCAGCCAAAAGGCCTTCTCAGCCACGCCTATGAAATTGGTGGCTCGACAGAGGTACTCGCCCCCATCCCGCTCCGACACATTGGCCAGGCGGAGGCGTGCGTCTGCCTCCACATTCTCACTGATCCAGGACTGCGGGGACAAGAGACTGGGCTCAGGCACACCCCGAGCCAGCTCGAGAAGGATGTGAGGATGAGGCAGGGCAAGGGAGCTCCCCAAAGATGGGCAGGGGCCTGGGCAGCAACACCTGGAAAGCTGCCCGGAGAGGCGGCTCATTGCGGCAGTGGTAGGCGTGACTTTACACACGTCTGTCATCACAGGTACACATACATGCTTACATACATACATATACAGAAAGTGGAGGAGGAGAGAGGGAAGGGGGAGAGAGAGAGAGAAAAGCTGTAACCCACAGCCTCTAAATCCTCACCCCAGGGATCATTTTAGGGTGCCTAGCTTATTCTCATGAACATCCACACCCATGGTGTGTGACACACATCATACAAGACCCCAGTGGCCTCTTTCTCAACAGCCAGGATTCCTGTTCCAACAAGTCCCTATTCCCCTCCCCAACCAGACCTCCTTGTCTCTCAACAGCTATTTTCTTTGAGCTTCCAGTGTCACAAAGTCCTGACTCTGGTATGGAACATGCTACAGGCAGAGGGAGGGCAGGACAGAGCCAGTGCTAAATGCAAGCAGATGACACCAGCCCATCCAGGACGGCTGGAGAGAGTCTAGCCAGTCCCCTGGGGTTCAGAGGGTAATAACTCAGCAGTCATCCTCCTGCCCTGGGCCACCATAACTGTCACCCAAGAGAAGACTTCGGCAGGCTCAGCCCTTAGAGCCAAGTCCCATGGCAGGGCACAAGAACAGAGAACCTGCCTGGAGCTCAGAGCAGGTGACACACACTGGGGCTAAGCTGCCCCTTCTTAGAAGCTCCAACACCTCAGTAAATCCCAACATATCCCTCAGCCAAGAGGGACACACACATGGGCCAAGGCCAGGGCAGCCCCAACTGACCCACCCACCCAGCCAGCCAGCCACCAGCTGGTGGTAGAGCTTACCTTGAGCACAGTGACGTAGGGTGTGCCATCAGGGCCCACCTTGCTGCCATTCACTTCCACATGCTTCAGCCACTGGATGTGTGGCTGGGCATCACTGTACACCTTGCAGTGGAACTCCACATCACTGCCCAGAATGGCTGTCTGGTTGGCTGGCAGCCCAGCCTGCAGGATGGGCCGGTGTGGGGAGCGCTCTGCAAGAGGCAATCCGGTCAGGGGCAGTGGGCCAAGGGGCCCAGGGATGCCCTGCCTTAGCCACCCGGCCTGGCCCTCACCCAGCACATCCAAGGTGTACGTCTGCCGGATGCTGCCAAACTTGTTCTCAACCACACAGGTATAGTTGCCACGATCAGAGGGCACCACACTTTCCATGACCAAGCTCCACTGCTGGTGCCGAAGCTGCAGGTAGGTCGTCCATGAGTAGATGCAGGATATACGTCGTCTCCAGCCGCCCACCCCCAGGCCCCCTTCCCCAGACCTACCTTGATGCCCCCAATGCGATGCTCCCCTCGGAATTCTTTGCCGTTCTTCAGCCAGGAGATGGAGGGGGTAGGGTTGCCAGCAGCTGGGCAGCGGAAGCGGACAGTGTTTGCAGCTGGCACAGCCAGCAGTTTCTTATCCATACGCTCTGGTCGAGTCCAATAAGGAGCCCCTGATGGCAGAAATGCCCCTAACAGCTATAATCAGTGCCTTCCAGAACTTTACCTGCCCACCCTCTAGCCTGTTTCCCCTTCTGTATTGAGAGTCCTTTGCTTTGCCTGAATAGGCTCCCTGAACCTGGACACTGCATTTACAGTTGCCCTACTCTCAGATCTGAATGTATCTTCTCCTCCACCTTTGGTTCAGGCCCACAGGTGGAGGTCCCCAGAAGGTAGATCCTGGTAGGATGCAGATCTAGGGAGGCAGCTAGGCCAGGTCATCTCACCAGTCCACAAAACCCGAGCCAGCCTCTGTACTGCCCAGGGCCTGGCCCACTCCCTTCAGGTCTTGCTTCTCCACACTGAGTGCTCTGATGCCTCTGTGTGGAAGTAGTAGTGGGTGGAGGAAGCCACCCTGCTGGGACTCCTGAAGCAGCTGAGGGACAGAGCAGGGATCCAGGACAGAAAAGGGAGGCGGGTCCCTTCTGCAGCAACCTCACTATATTCTACCATAGGACCATGGGCATCTGTGGGTGAAAGAGCTACTGCATAGGGAAAAAGAAGACAGTCTGCATATGCTGGTGAGGGGCCCCTCCAGGCTGAGCTGCCTTCCGTGGTTCCCAGAGTTGCCAGTAGTCTCAGCACACTCAAGAGACTGCGGTGACTAC